TTGTGGATTCTAATGGGTTCTCTCTTTCTCGTATATTTTTTCTCTCTCCTCTCTTTTAAGAGGTCAATATTCTCATTTTTTAAAAATATTTTTTAGAAGACCTACATAAAAACTTATCTTATAATTAATATTTTTAAAAATCAATTATTAAATTAAATATTATATTCATTTATGTCATATATGTTAATTTTTAAATTCATCTAATATTTATAATTTTTTAATCAAAAAGCTTTATTTACTGACATATATTTAACAATATTAAATTTAATGTAATCAGCAAACTAATTAGGCTTACTCAATTAAACTAAAAATTATTATATATAATCTATATAAATAAAATTTTCAATTCAACAATTAAATTTTAAAAACATTAATTAAAATGTAATGTTTAAAAATGTCTTCCAACAAAGACATCCTACACAACAGTTTTCCCCTCTTTAATTCTATAGAATTACCTTTTTTTTTTTTTATGGAAATTCTATAGAATTATGGCTTAAAGCCAACTATAGTCCCTCTACTTTCAATTTTTGTTTATTGTTTTCCTTAAACTTGCAAATCGTTCAAAGTCTTCCTTCTACTCTTCCAAACCATTTTTTTGTCCTCCCTCTAGTTTAATCTTCCATTACATTTATCTCCCTCCCATAACACCATTTATAACACCATTTAAATGCAACTGTTTATGCTTTTTGTTATATCTTTTTGTGGCCCCATAAAATTCAATGGTAAAATTCAATGGTATTCTGGTGATGGTGCCACATGTTCCATCAATGTAAATAAAAAATTGTTGCTTCCATTGATTTCATAATCGCTTTCTTTTCTACCTTTAAAACTATTATTGTTGTATTTTCTTGCACAAATAATTACATATTTTAGTATTGACTTTTAGAGAAAAAGAAATCGTCCGCTGATGATACTTTAAATAAGAGCAGGGACAAAAAAATCATTTTTTTTAAAATTTAAAAATAAAGAATTCCATTAGTTAAAAATAATATTAATAATTCATCACATTTTAAAATATCTTGTTATACCAAAATTTATACATAAAAATAAGAAATTTTTAACGAATAAATTAAAAGCAAAACTTGCATCTTCTTTCAAGCCAAATTCCAAATCCTCTAACACACATTCTCCAATCCAGTATTTTCTCCAATAGATTCTTTGTTACCATGGCCTAACAAATGCAAACACAGAATCAAATCAAAAACAAACAACAAAGTGATCCAATAAATTTTATGTGTACCAAAGGGCGATGGAGATCACTCTCATCAAAGCCAATAATAACCTCCTAGATAAAGTAGGAAGTAGACTTGAAATGTTCCCTCTCTTGCAGTAACAACAAGTATGGTATGGACTTTTTATGTGTACGGGTATGGTATTTTATTTTCTTTTCTGATCTTTCAAATTTATGTATAAATTTTGGTATAACAAGATATGAATATGGTGATTTGATTTTAGAATTTGAAGAATTATTAATGTTGTTTTTTGTTACATGAAATTCTTTTATTTTTAATTTAAAAGAGAAAAACTTGATTTTTTTTTCCCTTTGCAACTCATATTTTCTCTACAAGTTAGTACTAAAATATGTAATTATTTATACAAGAGAATACTATTAATAATACTTTTGAAGGCAAAAAAATGTACAAGTACGAAGTTGATGGCAGCAGTAATTTTTTATTTACATTGGTCGAATATGTGACATCATCAGCAAAATACCATGAAATTTTATGGGGCCTCAAAAACAATGCAACAAAAAACATATACTGTTGCATTTAACGGTGTTATAATTTATAAATGGTGTTAGGGGAGGGAGTTAACAGTGTTATAAATGGTGTTGAGGGAGGAAGCTAACGGTGTTAGTGAATGGAGGTAAATGTAATGAAAAATTAAAATAGAGGGAGGACAATAATATGATTCGGAAGAGTAGAGGGTGGACTTTGAACAATTTGTAAGTACAAGAGGACAATGAATCAAAACTGAAAGTAGAGGGACTATAATTTTTTTTAACCCTACAATTAGTAATAACATGTGTTTGGGATAATTATATCGTCCATGCACCGCAGGCCACAGGATTAAAATAAATAAAATATAAATAAATTAATTCTAAATAATAAGGTGATAATGTTTATGTTGTTGGAGAGATAATTAATTAATTAATTAATTAATTTGTTAGTGTAATTTTGTTGTGTTTTAGACTTTTGGGAGATATGCTTCCTTGGTAGCAAGAGGCAGTTTCGAACAGGTCATGGATCCCTAGTTAGTTTACATCAGAATCAGACAAAAGTAATATATATTTTTTTTAACATTTTAATCATGAGCCGCCCGACTCAAACCGTTGCCCTCAAACAAAATCTACCAGAGATGCCATGCCACAGCTTATCTTACATTCTTTAGACATAACACAAACAAAATCTACCAACGCAAATGCACACGACTAAAATGAAGTTCCGGGGATGCCACGCCACAACTTATATTACATTCTTTAGACATAACACACGCAAAATCTATCAACGTAAATGCACGCGACTGAAATGAAGTTCCAAAGACGACTGGCCTCGAGCTCTTCTCCCATTTGCCTTCTCTTTTATTTGAATCAACTTATCATAAACACACCACGGAAAGCTGAGAAAGTGGTCCCTATCCATTCCGTCATTGTATTGACCCCAATAACTTTGATGATACGTGACATGGTACCAGGCAGAGGCTTTTGCATATTCATCTGTATCAAAATCCTCGCCACTTCCCTTTTCATTAAACCATGACCTAGCTTCCTTCCTCAATGACTGTACTGCCTTGCCAATTGCTTCTGCATCCCTTCTTTTAGTGAAAGACTTGGACATTCTCATGATACTCCCACTTAGTATTTCAGCCTCAGTTTTGATCCCGTAATAGTCCATCAAATTTCCCAACTTGTAATCGTAACTGTTTTTGTAATAGAAAGCATCATCAATATAATCCTCAAAGCCTTCAACTTCCATGTCAGGATCATAACAACGATTTGCTTGTTGCTGAGTGAAAGACTTGATAGAGAATGCAGGGGGTGACAGATCTTTAACCTCTCGGAAAAGCTTTCCAATAACATTACGTGACTCATAAGTTGGTTTGTCTGGCTTCTCCATGAAGTCTGGATACTCTTTGACATAAAGATTAGATGGTATTTCAGCTGGTACACCAGTCTTAGGAAAGTCAACTGCAATTGAAAACAGCTTTGCAAGCTCAATACAGGGTTTACTCATTGCTTTAGCTCTCTCTTTGTCAGCAAAGACAGTATGAGCATTAGCAATAATTCCCAGACTGTCATTGACAATATAGTTCGCAAAATACTCCTCCACTTCCTGCACCAGAGAAATGAACATCACACAACCTTAGCTCTTATCTAGTTTACAGCATGAGAATAAAATTCATGAGTTTATAGACACACCAAGCTGAAAACAATTGTCACTAGAGAACTCATTGCCCTCAAAGATTTCTAGAAGTAACAGAACCTTGTGTTTGCATTATGCAATTTAGAGTCAACTATGAAATGACTAGAATGTAATGCTATTTGTGTAACCTTATGTGACATTATTTTTTTTTATTTTTGAGAAATGACAATATGGTCACTCTATGAAAAAAGGAACAAAAAAAATATAACATAAAGAAAAACAAAACAAAAACAAAGACAGGACTGAATTCCTAAGATCTTTAAGAATTGAACTTTTTCCATCCAAAATCTTGCTTCATTAGGCCAAGACTTTATTCCAGAGTTTTCCTTTTTAAGAGGGGGGATGCCTTTAAACCATTAAAAACAGGGAGTTCATTTATTTGTTCCTTTTTACGCTTAATTATCTTCCTGAAATCCCTAATTTTGCTATTCTCTTCCCACCCTTGCTTCTGTTTCTAAGTTCTATCCTCAACTTTGCTTCCTATTCTACATCAATTAGGTATCAAGGCTACCAAAATCCCACAAACCACAAGCTTCGATTTCCTAAAAAAAAAAAAACACTGAGTCAATCGATAGATTTGTGAGATCCAACATTGTTTTTTGGGAATTGATGCAGAGCATTTGATCGGACAGCACTGGAATCCGAAATCCATTTGTTGAGGTCTATTTTGATAGGTCAGTGGCTTGAAATTGATTTTCTAGTTTAATGGAGTGAAATCATGGTCTCTTCTTTTAAAGAGTTGTTACAAATAGAACAGTTGAAGGAAGTTGGGTATTTCCCTCAAGAACCCTCCTTCCTCAATTGATGAACTTCTCTCTATCCTGTTACAATTAAGGATTTTCCTTTCAAAAGTGGAACAAGAGCCATGTCCATACCTAGAAAAGGCACTGTATCCATCAAAACAGGCTTTGGTTTCAAAACAGGCTTTGGTTTCAAAACAGCTTTTTCATCATTCACATGCCCATGTTAGAATTGCTGTTGCAGCTTGCATTAGTGAGATGATGAGAATTACTGCTCCAAATGCTCCATATGATGATGACAAAATGAAGGAGGCATTTAAATTAATTGTTTCATCATTTGAGCATTTGTTTGACAATTGTGACAGCTTATATTATAAATTATAATAGAAAAATAATTTTGAGCATTATGGCCAGGATTCAATCTTGTGTGTTGATGCTGGATCTTGAATGTGATGCACTAATTATTGAAATGTTCCAACATTTTCTATTATCAATCCGGGATTACCACCCACAAGTTGTCTTTGACTATATGGTAAGTATCATGACTCTTGTTTTACAAGAAAGTGAAGCTACTCCTATGGAACTACCATTCTCTATTGCTTTTGTGTGTGGAAAAAGATGATACAGTTGTTCTGCCTGTTGCTCAAAAATTGTCAAAAAAAAGTGCTTGCAAACTGTGCTACTAAGCTTGAGCCTTATTTGAGAAAGGGTGTAGTCGATAATTACATTACTGATCAAGAAATTCCAAAGTCAACCATTTGCTATGGTATTCCCATACCCAAGGAAGACGATAATAACTTAGTGACATAACATGATACAGTGAAAGTTCAAGGAAACAATTTGGTGGGTTACTTGACTTCTCTTTTGTTAGGTTCTGAACAAGAATTCAAGCCAAATGAGTTACTTGAAGAGCTTCAACATTCAGAGGTCAATGACATGGTGGAAAATAGAGAAGATCTTGACAAAATGGTATTCAAGAAACTTCCAGAATTAGAGCCAAATGGCTTACTGTAAACTATGGAAGAAAATTTGGAGTTCCTCTGTGTCTTGCAAGCTATTCAACCTGTTGAGTTCATTTTTTCAGAAGAATTTGATGCTAAACATCCTACTTTGAAGTCTATTTTGTTTGATTTGAAGATTGAAATCGAGTTACCAAAAGCACTGCAGTTGTATTATTTTGTTGCCTCAAAATTTGTATGGCTTCAACACTACAAAAGTCGAGGTCGAGTTTTCACCAAGTGGGGGAGAATGATGCAAATAAGGAAGGAAATAATATATTTATTAGGATTTTATTATGATTATGAATATATAGGAATTAAATGGAAATATTACTAGTATCTTATATTTATTAGGATCCATTATTATCTTTCAATAAAAATTCAATTGGAAGTCTAATTAGGAAGTAAGTCTAATATGGGTTTTTAGCTTTTATATTTAAGCATAGGTTGTGTTAGGGTTATTGAGTTGAAGTGTTTATGAATTGAAATTATCTTCCTAGAATCCCTAATTCTGCTATTCTCTTCCTACCCTTGCTTCTGTTTCTAAGTTCTATCCTCACCTTTGCTTCTTGTTCTACATCATAAAATCTTCCTCATGGTATTTTATATTGTGGGTGCATGCTATTTTCTTGCATCAGGTTGCTCCATCTTTCTAGAATTTGGAAACAATAAAATTAACATGATCATACACACAAATTATTTACATATATATGGATTCTGGAGAAATAAAGATGGCAAAAAAGAAAAAAGGAGAGATAAACTAATCCTTTCATCATGTACAGTTCACCTATTTATAGACTACATATGAAACCTCTTGTTCAAAACCTTGCAACTTCCAAACTTAAAAACTCAGAAACCATAATTCCAAGTCTCAAAACTTTGGGACCATATGTGATTGTAGAAACAATCATTCTTTTATAAGTAAAATGAATGCATTAAACCTCCATGGATATTATATAAAGACTGACAGAGTAAATTCAAAAAAGGAATACCAAATCAAAATTTACAAGTTAGACACAGGTGCAGATCAAACACATAACAGAAAGACATGCAAGGTTGAAGTACTTTTGATTAAATTAGAAAACATTTAACAAAATCTGGTTGGAATGCTTCTTTAAAGCAAAGAGTAATACCTCAATTGTAACATCATGATCCAACTCCTGAGTTCTTGCTGGAGAATAATCCATGGGATCAATTGGGGAATGTGGTATCATTTCTGGGTCCCAACAGACAAAGTATATATCTCCATCCAAGTCACTTCCTGAACATTCATTTGGGTGGGGCCTGCAAATTCAATTCAATTTTGGTTTCTTTAGCAAACTTGCTGCGTGTAATACAATTTCCAAAAGGGTAATGAATCAATATACAATAAAGGGGTAATGAAATTGATTCAGAATCCCATTGTGTGTAATAACTTCAAAAGAGTAAACTACAAAAGCATCCTAAAGTAGAATAGAACATGATGCAATAAAATAAAAATATTTGTAGATCTGGCAAACAAGTAATGCAAAAAATCAGCACTTCAAATATAACATTAACTTAAATTTATGCTACAATACCCAAAAACTTTATAGGTTAGATGAACAAAGGTTCCCCCACCTGCAGAGCCCAACCCCAAGATAGAGCACTAAATATACAGATTTTGGTTACCAACCCTATGACACAGACAAGTGAGCTCATTTTTAAAGAATATTGCTTAAATGGTATGCTGGGGACCTAACATGACAGATATATTTCCCTGCTTTCAGATTCTCCCATAAGGCAGATTTCTATCCTAACACAGCACACTTGTCCACAACAGGTTCCATTCATAATTATGGTGCCACATTTTGAGCATCCATGGCACTACACTCCAGAGATAGTGGATAGTGTCTATGAGCATCCCCATAACGGTGACATATGAATCAATAACAGCGACAATGGATGCTGACAATTAAGTTGCTACTTAGCATATACCAGATTTGAGTGCAATAAAGTAGTGCATCTAAGAAACAGAAAAATTTCTTCTATTTGACAAAAAAATGCAATCTGACTACAGTAGACACCCATCAAAAAAATACAAGTAAAAAAAGCTGCAGTATACATTGATCAAAAGAAAAATCTTCTCCAAAGAAGATATCATTATATACTACAAATTGAGTTTCAAAAGAAAATCATGCACACAATATCAAAAAAGGGAAACATAACAAGATTACCTCTTTCCTTTTTGTGGAAAGACAACACAATCTACCATATGGCGCAAAGCAGGGACATTGACAGCCCTCAAGACACGCACATCACCTGGGTGCAAGCAGGGGTTCTTTGCAACAACTACTCTACCCTCAACAACAGACGGATCTAATCCGGAGCCACCATAAGAACGTCCATATCCAGAATTGGAAAACTGCACAAACACCTGACCATAGTTCAAGGTTCCAGTTTCATCTAGACATCCCATCATTGACCTTCCATTTTGAATAAATATCCTTGTTTTTGTCCGCAAATCTTGCAACTTTGTTGCTCGAAATGTTTGCAACATCATTGAAAGGAAGGGTTCAGCATCAGGCTTGTAACCACATATGAGCATCTCCTTGAGTATGTTAGTATTCTCCCCAGGGGACATCAACTCCAGAGCTTCCTGTGCCCTTAAGGGATCCGTTAGGATAGCATCCAGTTGCTCTATGGCTTCTCTTTGCTTTTCCTCAAACACATAGTCTGGAACTCCGAGGGTAGACAAAAGAGTAATCAATTGGCGATTCAGAAAACAAGGCTGATATTTGCTCCAAGCCAAAACATCCAGCTTTCTGTTCTTTGATTCAAACTTTGACATACTCTTTCTCAGGGATAATTTCTTTGATGAGGTTGGGTCAACAGCCACAACACCTTTGTATCCACCAATCCGAATCTGAAAGGCAGAAGGAATGGGACTCTTCAAGTGACACTTTACAGCCACTCTTTTAGCAAAGTCAGGTGATATTTTCCCAATTCCGTCAGAGAAGACATAATTAATTCCATCCCTTTCAATTTTTACATCAGGAATAATTTCAATTTCATCTTCACCAACACTGAGAGTTTCAGTTGATGAACTGAAGGATTGACCAAGTCGAGCAGCATATTTAGCCACATTTCTTATTTGGCAAAAATTTCCCATCCACGCCCTTATATCTGCCGCAGTGAGCCCATCTCTTGAAGCAAACATCCATGCTGAATTTTCCCGTAATTGACTTGATGAGAAGGCAAGAAACTCAAACTTCTTGTCACCAATAACTATACCATAATTTTGAAGGATAGAAAGAATTCTTTTATAAATTTCTGTTCTCCTATCTCCATTTGTAGAAGTACGTGGAGATAGATCTGTTGAATGAATTTTGTCCAAGTCCTCATCAAGAAAAGTAATGCGAAGAAAATTATCAATATCATCACTGTAATTGCGCAGCACACGATTTGACACATTAACCTCAGGACCACAAAAATACACCTTAGAAGGTGTTATCTGAACCCTCCGAACATACACCAAACCATCACCTAAGGATATAGCAGGAGAGTTTGGATGCCTTTTAGCAGATATGTACTTTCGGTACTGCTCAGAAAGCCATCTTGAAGGCTCATAGCAGCATTCTTTCAGATGAATAAGTTTTTCCAAGGCATGCTCTATATAGGCCTTTGTTATTCTACATGGATCTACCAATCGGTAGAAATCGGCATCCAACACTGGCCCTGGAAGACACCCATTTTGGACCAATAAATTAACCCTAAACAACATATCAAATGGCAAGTTAGCCCCTTGGGGAGGACCAACAACAGGGACTAGATTGTGATTGCAAGAATATGCAGAACCATGTTCCAATATAAACCTTCCTTCACTTTCTTTGTAAAAAGAAAAGTTTTCCCTGAAATTTGGAAGTTTGAGTCTGGAAGAAAGCTCCAAACATATTGCAGATGACTGACCAATACAACTTGATTGAGTGAAATCAGTTGTCCTGACCCACTGATCATCAGGCACATCCCTGAAGAAGTTGAATAAGGGATCTTCAAAAACAGATCCAGAAGAGCGTACGTCTTTCTCAAAGATCTTAGGAGCACCAAGTAACTGCCAATTACATGCAAACCAAAATGGACTTTATAAATATCTATGCAAGATAATCAATGAAATCACTTTGCGGCAAAGTGAAAAATAGCAAGATTCAGAAACAACATTTAAATCATCACACATAATAGGAATAGTACTTTAGGTTTCCCATGATTCATTATCTATTTGTCCATAGAAGTCCTTGAAAGAGAAGGAATTTAGAAGGAAAAACATTTATTTCATCTATGCATCCCACTTTTGAATTGCAAATACAGTCATATGTAAGTACACTTAGCATATGATGTAAGTAAGAATAAGTTCTGAATCACAATATGTCCACATCTTTGACTCAATACCATTCTTGTACTAGAAAGAACTAGCAGTAAACCTGAAACTCCTCAAATCATAACAGCCTGCAGTATAGCCTAAATCAAAGCAGACCGCTTGGCCCCAAATATCCATTTGAGAATGCAGATCCAAGAAGTTGTAATCAGAGGTACCTAACTAGAATTTTAGTAGCTTAGACAAGTTTTCCAAAGATTATTAATATGGAGCAACATTTCCTTAACTTTTTGAGAAATACAACCTTTCATATAATGCGGAAAATAAAATCATGTGCATGCATACACATTCATGAATGCAAAAGCATGCCTAAACCTCCAGAAACAGAGAGAAGGGGGAAGGGATAACAATAACACCCTTAACTTATTCCCAGTCCAGGGTGATAGAAGGTGTGACAGGAAATGGAACCCAAAAGGAAAAATCTCTGTTCCACTATCCCACTCTATCAACTGTAAATTATAGAAACCAACAAAGTAAACAGATATGGATGAGTATGTGCAAATTATTTGAGCTATGAAAGGCAAGGAAAGACATCACAATCTCATATTTCTAGTTACCAAGACCATTTAAGAAAACAATGATTTATGTTAAATAATAATTAAATAAACCATACAACCTGAATCAAAAGATACTTTGCAGTTTGCCCTCGTGGACAATGAAGCTCAATCTGCCAGACATTCTCATAAGAGAGCTCAAGCCTGTAATCCAGGTCTAACAGAAAAAACTGTAGTTTTCGCATCCCAATCCCAAATTTTACAGTAACATTCCTGAATTTCCAGAGATGGCAAAATTTTTCATTTGACAGCTGACAACCAAAATGCAGTGTCACATTTTCCATGGTATGTAGAAAGATTCTTGGCTTTGGGACAATATCTGTTTCCATCACCCAAGCCTTGAGATATGAAGTTGCATACCATAGCCTTTTTTGATTGGTCATGCTTAAGATCAATTCAGCATCCCTTGCCGTTTGAAATTGCACAATAGCAAATGCGAATCGACCCTCATTTTTTCCCTGTCTAATTTTAATAGCATAAACGGTTCTCTCACCAGTATATCTCTCCAAAAATGCCTTCACTGTTTCTGCATACACCCCACGAGGGAACCCATTTACCTGAATTGTCTTACCCATAGATTTTCAGTGATCTTTCCACCTTAATAACATACAACGCAGGACAAAAAAAATAACATTAATACAAAAAAGACAAAGATACAGATTCATTGCCTTCCTACTAAATATCAAAGAAAGAAACAGAATTTAATCAAATACAAATTTGGAAAACAAAGCTACGCACCATATTCTTGAAATAGAAAAGGGAGAAGGTGAAAACCCAAAACAGAAACTGTAAGTGAGAGTAAGATGCAAAACAAATAAAAGGGAAAAGAAGCAAATTTAGAGGTTACCCTCCATAAATAATCAAAAACGACTAATCTTTTGCCATCACAAGTAAAGATCATGCATTAAACAGTCAAATTCTAGATGGTGGTTGCGATCACATACCAGAGATGCAGAAGCAGAAGCAGAAGAAGAAGCAGAAGTTTCCTCACAAAAGGAAAGGAGATAATGCAGGTTATGCGTCTGATCGTCAACCCCAAGTCAGTGAAGTTTCTGTTGTAGTGTTGTGTAAAGAGAAAGGAAAAAGCGGGGAAGGACGCTTGCTTTTCTCTCTCTGTGGAATTTAGCACAAAAGGTGAAATTTCTAGGCAAAACCCTTCTTAAGCCCTCAAACTTATGTAAAATAACATTTAAGCTCCTAAACTAAAAATGAAATAAATAAACCCTTCAACTTTAATAATGATACAAATAAAGCCTTTTCACAAACAGGTCAAATGGTATTTCATGTTTAATTTCATCTTGAAAGCATGTATACCCATTAATGAGAAGGGCTTATTTGCATAATTAATGGAGTTGAGTTGAGGGCTTATCTGTTTTATTTTTAGTTTAGGGGCTTAAGTGCTATTTCAAGGTAAATTTGAGAGTTTGAGAATGGTTTTTGCCAAATCTTTATGATTCGTTGCTTCTCCAATCTCTAATTAAAACTGTTGAAAAAAAATATATAACTAACTACGAGGTTTTTCTGACGTGTAGTCGTTGATGTGTGCTTGTAGGTCTTCTTGGACTAATTCGATCTGCCCCTCAAGGTTTATAAGTTCGCAACTATTTTATCCAAACAAGTTGATTTTAAAACTCTGAAGTTAGTTTTGCTAATAAAAAGTCTTGTTGTATGTATTAAATTTAAATTTTAAGTTTTAGAGTAAAAAAATTAATTTTTTAAAATATATTACGTCGATATGAGAAAGAGAAATTAATATTGAGATTTGTAAAAACTGACTCAAAAATATTTTAATTTTAAATACCAAAAGAAACAAAAAGTCAACATTAAATTGGATAGCTTAAGTCTGAGTTTAGTCCAAACATAACTTGAAAATCAGTTAATTAATCAAGTTAAACTTGAAACTTGTTTGTGTTTAGTTAGTTAATAATAGAATATATTTGAACCTATTCAAACATACATAACCTTAATCTAACTAAATAGAATTTAAACAAATTTAAAATTATATGTTAAAAAATTATATTAAATGAGTCAAACTTAAGCTTAGTAGAGCTGTGCTTGAGTATGCTAATTTATAATCATATTGGTAACTATTGGAGGACACATGACCCTAAGGAGAGTTTGAAGAAAAAAAAATTACTTATAATTAACTTTGTGGTTTTTGAAGGACATATGACCCCTAAGCTACTTATTCTTGTAGCTTCACCTCCGAATACCCCAACAAGAGAATGACCATTAAGTCCATCAAAATCAATTTTATCCGTAACTGGAGCATTTCAATAAGCAACGTGCTTCATTCCACATGCCATGACTCAATGACTAATTACTATTTCAAAGGGTAATTCATCGTTTGCATTCTTAAATTTTGAATTTAATACCTCTCACTAATATTTTTAATATATTAATTTTTGATCATTGTCTTTATCAAAAAATAAAAAAAAAAGCAACGTGATTAATTATGATAGTCGAAATGCTACAAATATGTGTATAAATATATATATATATATATAAAGAGAGGAGGAAAAATGAAAAATATTATAATATTTAATCATAATAATTAAATATATAAGATATAGTATAATTTTTAACTTTATCAATTTCATCATATATTTATTATTAGATGACTTGATATTTTTAGTAGTAACGCATCTGGATTTCTCTTTTCTCAATAGTAAATATCTTCTTTACCTTTCAAAAACTAAGAGGGAAGACTTGATAAATGACGCCTTCTACCATCGTTTCTCTTGTTGCTTTGTTTTTTCAGTTTTTCTTCCCCCACCCTAATTAATTGAATATAGCTTTTGGTTTGGCTTATAAAATCATAAACCCCTTCTTGAAAACTTTCCAGAGCAACACCATGGGATCTAGAAACTGCAACCTCCTCGTCGTTGAATCCACTTGAGGACGGATGGTGAACAATGAGTTAAAGGAACCCCAAAAAATTAACTATTTCCTATGCCTTTCAAGCACCTAGAAGCCAGAGAAATCGAAGTAAAAATAAAGTGAAATTTGAGAGGGAAAGAGGGAAATTAATCGAGGAAGAACGTTAAGTTTAAAGACTGAAGATCTTAATTAGGGCTGCCCGTCAAAATAAGATGAAAAGGGCTGCCAAAAAAAATTAAAAAACAGAGGACAGAACGATGGTAGAAGGCATCATTCATTAAGTCTTCATCTCCTAATTTTTAGAATATAAGCAAAATAAACACTATTTTTTTCTATATATATATGTAAGTAATATTAGTGTTTATTTACTTTACTTTTTAATGATTAAAAAAATTTATTTTAAAATTATATGTTCAATAAATTATTATGAGAAATGACAAAAAATACTTTAATTTGTACTTTTAAAATAGAATATTCTCAACAAGAGTTTCTCAATAAGAGTTATTAAAACGATGTAATTTTTGGATAATTTTTCTTTTAATTGTTAAGAGATAAAGTAGATAGGCATTATTCTCAATATATATATATGAAATTAGTGTTTATTAGCTAAACGTGCAAAAAATATATTGTAAAATTATGTCATTTTAATAAACTATTATGAGAAAAGATCAAAATAAAATTATTCATACTTTTAAAAGTAAGTTATTTTAGTATTTTTAAATGTAAATTTATTAAAAGAACATAATTTTGAAATGTTTTTTGCTTAATTTTTTGTAGGTCTCTTACTAATAAATACTTTTCCTTGTGTATGTATATTTATAAGAAAAATATATATCAATTTCAACTTTTATAAAAAATTAGAGTCCCAACTTCAAAAATACTACCTTACAATGAATATTTTCAAAAATCAACCATTAAATTTAATGTTCCATTGATATGGATTATACATGTTAATTTTCAAGTTGGTCTAACATTTATAATCATTCAATCAAGAAATTTGTATTTTTTAATATATATTTAACGATAGTAAATTTTCTCAAATCAATGAACTAGTTTTATATATTCAACTAATCTAAAAATTAATATGCATAATCTATATTAATAGAACACTAACTCTAACTATTGGTTTTTAAAACGATTTATTAGAGGATGGTTTTTTTTTTTTAAGTTGAAATTTTAATTTTTTTGAGAGTCAAAATCAATATAATATATATATATATATAATATGATTAGTGTTTAGCAATTGAATCTCTCAAATATATTAAGAGAAAAAACACAACAATTACATCATTGTAATAAAAGTGTCATGAGAAAACGTCAAGCCAATCTTGTTGGGATTAGGCCCAACATCCTACCCGGGCCGTGTCCAATAGGCCCAGCTGTACATTCACGAGCCCCAAAATGGGGGAGACATACCCACATGGGCAATGACACATGGGCAAATGGGATGCATACACATGTAGGCTTATGTCAGTACATGGGGTTATAAATACCCCCAACTACCTCCATGCAAAGTATTACCTCCACTACGCTTCTCTCTTTGCAATTTCTCTTTGAGAGCATCTCTCTCTAGAATATTGAGTATTGCTAACTTGAGCGTCGGAGTGTTTTCCCTGAGAAAACATCCTTGGGAATTTCAGGTATTGAAGCAATTGAAAGTATCTACAGTATTGGATCTCGAAGCTGCCGAAACATTTGGCACCGTCTGTGGGAATTGAACAAAAAGCACATTGATTTAACTAGCTTGAGCTAAAAATGGTACGCACCTTTATAGGAAACCATCCCCCGAGAGGCAACATGGACGATCAGGACAATACTCAGCTCTTGGAAAGCGACCTAAATGACATCTAAACAATGCCAAGAAACCTTTTCATTGATGGTGCAAAACAAGAACAATCAAACACTTCAGATGATGAAAGAACACCTACTGGGTATGCAACCCAACGTGAAGAACAGTTTCACATCCTGGTTGAAGCCAGACGAAGGCATTCCAAGCATAATACTTCACAACCTACTGAGAGACCCGTGAAATCTGCTCGGACGACCGAGCTGGAAGAAAGAACAAGAGTTTTAGAAATGGCTATGGGAAAAATCCTCTTTTGTTTGATCCCTGATGATCCCTTAATTCCCCTACTGAATAGGGGTGAGCAGCTGGCAACAGTAGTTGCAACCCACAACTCCCTAATCTTAAGCAATGTAGTGGTCCCAACTAGACTAAGGGGAAGTGGGAAGTTAAATTCAGAACCTAGCTCGTCCAGGCATAATGAAGAATTGCTAAAGAAGAATGCTGATCTTGAAAGACAACTTAAAGATGTACAGAAGTCTATTGACGAGTTGAAAAGTCCCAGGTTGCACCAGTAGGCTCTTGATTTGGATAGTGCCCTTCTCAACTTATCTATTATGGTAGAACCATATCAAGAGGGATTTAAGATCCCTCATTTAGAGACGTATGATGGGTCGGAAGACCCGGACGAACATTTACATACTTATCCGGCCATCATGAGAATCTAGAACGCCTCTGATGCTATGATGTGCAAAGTTTTTCCCGCAACATTAAAATCAACGGCCAGAAGATGGTACCATAAGCTCCCCAGACATTCCATAGCTTCCTATTTTGAGCTTGCCACTCTGTTTTCAAACAAGTTTGCAAGTCAAAGGGAAATTAAACGCACTGCCACTGAGGTGATGCAGGTTCATCAGAAGGAGGGAGAGTCTTTAAAGGACTATATGTAATAGTTCAACAAGTCCACTCTAAACATTACTAATGTCCCTGATACCATCTGTTTGTCTTTTTTGTTGCATTGGCTCAAACTCGGCCAGTTTCTAGACGACCTGCTAAAGAATCCGCCTAAGTCGTGGAATGAAGCAAATGATAGGTCGGCAAGTTTCGTATTGTCCGAAGACTTTTAATCCTCTAAGCGACGAGCTGACGACAGATAAGGTAAAGAGCACAGACAACCAAAGGGAAAGGAGGAAAAGAAAAAACAAAAAATGGGCGACCAGGGAGGAAAGTCGCCCTCCTTCCCAAAATACGCCAATTACATGCCACTGAACTCGTTAAGATCTTAGATATTGGCACAAATACAACATTGGGTCAAGAGACCACCTCCCCAAACACATGATTCCCCACGAGCTGACAGGAGTAAATATTGTGACTATCACCAAGGATACGGCCACAACATGGAGGACTATCAAAGCTTGAAGGACGAGCTGGAATTCTTAGCCTGCAATGGAAAATTGGAGGGATATGTACAGAAACCTTATGCCCAGCAACCCAATCAGACCCATTTTGTGCAAGAATATGGCCGATCTTAGGGGCAAGGATATTAGCTCGGCAACAATCAAAACCCTTATCTGGGGAGTCAATACTCATTTGAACCTAGCAAAGCCTACAGAGGACGCCCATTCAATAGATGAGGACAAGGATAGAAAACCTCTACACATAGTCAAAAAGACCATAAAAAGGTCGGTTACAGTGGGATATCCTCACCTTATGGCACAATCAACATGATTTCTGGTGGCATGCATTCAGGAGGCTAAAGTGCTTGAAGTCGTAAAGCTTATGCTCGCCAAGTGATGACGGTAAACAAGAATAGGCCCCTGAAACGACCTTTTGAAAAAGCATAATTGGAAAACGCACCAATTACATTTAGCCCGGCTGATTATAAGGGGTCAGAGGGAGAACCAGACATTATGATGCCCCATGTTGACCCTTTTGTGGCAACAGTTCATATTGGCAATCATAACGTTAACAAGGTCTTCATAGATACGAGCAGCTCTCCGGACATCCTTTATTGGAGCTATTTTCAGAAGATGCAGCTAAACCCGAGTTCCTTGAGAAAGTATAAGGGGCCAATCTATGGATTTGACAATCAGCCCGTCCTTATTGAAGGAGTAATTACACTTTCCATCTACGTGGGCGTTGAACCACGGTTTAGGATAGTGTCAGTAGATTTTCTAGTGATTAAGGAGTCAACTTTCAATGCTATAATTGGAAGAGCTACACTTTACGAATTGAAAGCTGTCATCTCTCAACCACACCTCTGTATGAAGTTTCCAACTCCTTAGGGTGTAGGGGTGCTCAAAGGGAACTAGAAAATGGCTAGAACCTGCTATCAAGATACGTTCAAGAAGGTCGAGCTCGTAGTAGCACCCAAGACCTCTAGTGTAGACGTTTCCAGACTGAGTCAGCCAAGTCAATAGACAATGAGCATATCTGAAATAGATCATCGACCCGAGAATGTGGAGCAGAAAGTTGAGGCAATAGAATTGGTTAAGACAGTTCCTTTAAGCCCAGATGAACCAGATAAAACAGTGAAAATAGGAACCAAGCTCTTGGCATTTTTGAAAGCTAACAAGGATGTATTTGCATGGTCAACAAATGAAATGCCTGGCATACCAATATAATTTGCGGTCCACAAGCTTAGTACAGATCCCACCAGGAAGCTAGTAGTTCAAAAGCGTCACCTTGTGGGTCTTGAGAAGCAGGCCACTGTAGATGAAGAAATATAGAAACTATTACAGGCAAGCTTCATCAAGTGAGTTGAATATTCTAAGTGGGTATCCAATCTTATACTCGTCAAAAAACCCAATGGCAAGTGGAGAATGTGCATTGACTTCACCAATTTGAATGAAGCGTGTCCCAAAGATCCACACCCCTTACCTAATGTGGAGAAGTTAGTAGAACGAGCAGTGGGATATGAACGCATGAGCTTCCTTGATGCTAGCTCAAGATATTATTAGGTCCAATTATTGTTAGATGACCAGGAAAAAATGACATTTTATGCAGGGGATGTGATTTATTGTTATGTAATGATGTCGTTTGGTTTGAAAAATGTTGGCGCAACATACCAAAAGTTGGTTCAGGTCATCTTTAAGCTACAGATCGGTAGGAATATTGAAGTATATGTGGATGATATGATTGTCACCAGTCTCCGAGCTGAAGACCATCTTGATGACCTGAATGAGACATTTCAAAATCTACGACGGGCGCAGATTAAGCTAAACCCGTTGAAATGTACATTTGCTATAAAATTGGGTAAATTCCTGGGATATGTGATATTCAAAAAGAGGATCGAGGTGAACCCAGACAAGGTTGAGGTTGCGTAGCAAATGGAATCCCCTAAAATAATAAAGGAAGTATAGTGTCTAACAGGTAGTCTTGCCGCTCTATACAGATTCATTGCTAGGTTGGTAGAAAAATGCCTTCCATTCTTCAAAGCTTTGCGAGAGCCCAAGCACTTCTAGTGGACTAATGAGTGCCAACATGCTTTCGATGAACTCAAGCAATACTTGGCATCACCACATTTACTCTCCAAGCCTATCGAGGGGGAGACATTGTACCTGTATTTGGGAGTTACAGAGGCGGCAGTCATCTCAGTACTATTAAGAGAGCAAGATAAACATTAGAAACCCATCTACTACACAAGCAAAGTCTTGCAAGGCACTAAACAAAATTATCCAACCGCCGAAAAGGTTGCTTTTGCACTCATTTGTATCGCTCAAAAACTAAGGGCATATTTTCAATCCCATGATATTATTGTGTACATCGACCTGCCACTACGGAAGATATTGCAGAAACCTGAACTATCTGGTCGGTTGATTGGATGGGCGGTCAAGCTGAGTGAGTATGACCTCAAATTTCAACCGCACACAACCATTAAGGGTGAAGCTTTAACAAATTTTTTGGTAGAATGTCGGCCGGCAGCTACAAAGGAAACCACACAGCCATACCCAGTATGGGCTTTATATGTAGATGGGGTAACCAATGTTGAGGGATCAGGAACAGGAGCAGTGCTGTTGGGTCTAGATGGTTTCAAATCTAAGCATGCCCTGAGGTTCAAATTTCAGACAACGAATAATGTCGCCAAAATATGAAGCACTTATTTATGGTTTGAAGTTGGCGTCCAAGCTAAAAGCACAAAGCGTCAAAGTCTTTAGCGAGTCTTAGCTCGTAGTAAATCAAGTAAATGGAAGTTGTGACATCAAAGACCCTCAGCTCGGTTGATACGTGTCTGTGGTCAATAAATTGAAATTAGGCTTTATCTCGTTTCAAATTGACAAGATACCGAGGGTGGATAATCGACGAGTTGATGAGTTATCAAAGTTAGCTTTCTCACAAGATATTAACCCTCAAAGGACCACATTAGTCGAAATACTAGATGCACCAAGCTATACCAGTCTAGCAATTGAGTGTCAAGTACTAAGCACAGATCCCTCCTCATCGAGCTAGATTACACCTTTGATTGATTACTTATGAATTGGTGAACTGCTAGAAGATCCATCTGACGCTCAGTTGATCAGACGCAAGGCAGCACATTTTACACTAATTGAGAATCAATTATACAAGCGAGAAGCTTCAAGGCCTTTGTTATGTTACCTCACTCCTTATGAAGCTAAATATGTTGTAAGAAAGGTTCATGAAGTAGTATGTGGCACACACATTGGAGGAAAAACTCTGGCTCAAAAGATCTTAAAGCATGGATACTACTAGCCTATTATGGTTGAGGCTGCACAAAATTATGTCAAAAAATGCCTAACCTGCCAGTTCAATGCTGATGACATTTACATGCCAGGTACCTGAGCTCATCCTAAAGTTTATACAAATTTCACGTTTTTCTATGAACTAAACGTGAAAGTTTCTTTTGGCACAAGCGAAAGGCTATTGTCTCTCATATCACCTTGGCCTTTCGCCTAATGGGAAGTAGATTTGCTCAGTCATTTTACAAAAGGCAAGGGAGGTTGCACACACCTCATAGTTGCTATGGACTACTTCACTAAGTGCATAGAAGCCAAACCGCTGTCTACAACGACTAAGAAGAAAATAAAGGAATTTTTGTTCAATTCCATACTGTGCAGGTACTCACAGTTTACAACACGCATGTATTATACATGTAAACATTTGTGCCTTAGTCAATGCGTTTGTACGTAAGTTTGGAATTTCTATGCGAATAATTGTTGATAACGGACCTCAGTTCCAAGCAGCGGCACTCAACTCGTTCTGTGATGACTATAGCATCGAGCTGACTCTTACCTTTGTATATACTCCACAATCAAATGGACAAGCAAAGTCAACGAATAAAATTGTTTTACGAGGTTTTAAGACGTGCATCTTGGCAGCACAAATCTAATTGGGTTAATGAGCTCAACAAAGTTTTATGGTCATGTCGCACCACGCCTAGCTCGGCCACTGGTGAAACTCCATTCTGCCTTGCCTATGGAGCTGAGGTCGTAATCCCAGTGGAAATTGGTTTATCATCCAACAGGTCAGCTCGTCACAATAATTATGATAATGAACAACACCTGAGAGAAAACCTAGACTTTGTTGAGGAGGTTAGGGAGATCTCTCAAATAGAAAACATGACATATCAGAATTGCATGGCTAGATTTTGTAATAAAAGGGTGCGAGCTCAACAATTTCAAGTCGGTGACTTGGTTTTACACAAGGCTGGGCTCACTAACACTTAGTCACACATGGGTAAGCTCACTCCAAATTGGGAAGATCCTTATATGGCTATTTGTATTAAGCGACCTGGGTCTTATTTGTTAGCAGATCTACAAGGTCGTCAGTTGCCATTCATCTGGAACATACATAACCTTAGAAAGTTTTACAGTTAATATGTATGTTATTGTCTTATCAACAAAGTGTATTCAGAAATGTGAAGAACATGCACAGCTCGATAAACACAGAAATTTCAAAGAAAAATCTCCAAATTTGTATTATTGTTCAAAATTTACATTTGAAGTGCAAGAGATAACAATTTAAAGGGTAAATGGGTCAAATGACCAATACAAAAGTACAAAAGAAAAGAAAAAACCCTAAACTAATCATCCGTTAGGTCGATAGGGATGGATGCGTCAGTGGGCGCAATAGTAGGTCGAGCAAGAGATGACCGACCTTGAGTAGACCAAGCTGGAGAAGGGAAAGTTGGAGCGATGGCGGGTTGAGAGGAAAGGGGAGTGCTCGATGGTTCAGCCTACACCTCAAGGGGCTTTGCCACCCAAGCATTAAGACTTGGCAAGCCCTTAGTGTCCTCCTCCTCTTCTACAATTGATGGAGGCCACACTAGCATTCTTTCCTTATTTAGTTCCCACCTCAACCTCACGGTAGCATCAGTTGGAGGGGCGAGGCTTTTTCCTTGCTCATCCATTTCCTCCCCCTCGAAGAAGGCCAACTCACTTATTAGGAAGTTAGCCATGTGTTACAACACGTTCCCACGAATCTTGTTGTAGATATCCGTGGTAGTGTTCGCTAACGCAATCACCATAGCGTCCTGGAACATATTTGCTCCAACCAGCCACTTAGCCCCTTGTGCCCGAGCAAAGCAGATAGTGTGCTGATGGTGCTTCTTGGCTTGCTCCAAGGATGCCTCAGCCCGGACGACATTTTGGTTGGCTTCTACAACCTTATCTTTCAAGGAGTTTAGCTCAGAAAGAACCTTGTCCCTATCAGATTTAGCTCTTTTGGCCCAGTCTTCAGCACGACTAGCCTCCTCCTTAGCAGCTTGAATGCTGCTTTCCTTCTCAGCTTACGCTTTCTCCAACTCCCCTTTCAGCTCGTTGACCTTACAAGCTGACTCGTTAGCTCGGCTCTCCACTGAGGGTGCTTAGTTTGCCATCTCCAAGCTTTGCAAACAACCGACCTCATCCTCCAAGCTTACTTTCTCAGAGGCCAGTTGTTTGCAGCTCTGGTGGAGCTCGCGGTTTTGCCTACACGCCCCTTGCTCGCACTCAAAGAGTACTCCAGTGTAGCTGAACGCCTGCTATATAAGTTCAGTCGTTAGTTTCTAATATAAACTTTTAAAGGTGTAATAATACACTTAATGAGACTACTCACATCCATCAGTTTCAGAAGTGCAGCATGACCCTAAGGTT